GTTTTATAATATCTTAAAACTGTTTTTTTTTTCAGGATTAAGTGAAATGTCCCTCAAACATTTATCTATTTTTATCTACTACTTATGTAACTTTATCAAAGATTTTTAATTTGTATTAAACATATTTTGTCTTAACCTTACACAAGCAGTACTTATTTTGTGTTCAGCAGAATATTTCCCAGAGATATGTGTCTTAGAATTTTCAAAACAATTCTACAGTTAGTTCACAGATGTGCTGCAGTAAATCATCTTACTGAAAGTTTTGTTGCACACACATGGTGTTTATTTAAACCTGAACCTACTCACTGAGTCCTACATCTATGACTGTCAGCATAAAGCTGGAACCCTGCCAGCTCCAACCTGTTTTATTTTCAAGGGTCTGGAGAAGTCATCAGTGTTATGTAACATTCCAGGTCCATTTTTTTGTATTGATGCTCTCTGCGCCCAGTTAGCGTCAAACTCTGCAGCCTGCCTGCAGGGTACAACTTGAGTTACTTCTTCGACTGGCCAGTTAAGATAAAAACTCCACCATGATTTTTCAAGGACTTTTAGATCGACTTGACTTCACCAGTTGGTTGTTGTTGGGTTTTCTGCTCCTGATTTTAATTGATGTGGTGAAAAACTGGGCTCCTCACAACTTTCCCCCTGGACCCTGGGGTGTTCCGTTTCTTGGCAACATCTTCACTGCTGTTGATTTTAAATCCATGGAGAAGGTGAGCTGAACAATGAAACTCTGCTGTGTGTGTGCATGTAGAGAAGTGTTCCTGAAATAAGTGTAGAAGTGTTGAATCTATACAGAAATCTGTAATAAAAAAATTCAACAATCTCGTAAAATTAATACATTTTTTTAATCTAAATTAAGTATTATTGTAAGTACGGGTCTTTTTAATCAGTTTTTTATAAATTGGCAATTTCTTTAGAAATACTAACATCATTATCATGTACTTCCTTTCTTAAGACGCAAATTTTTCCCTCCAAATGCAGCTTACACAGAAGTACGGCACTGTGTTCAGCCTGAGGAAAGGCAGTGAGAGGTATGTGTTTATTTCAGGGTACAAGATGGTCAAAGAGGCTCTGGTTAATCAGCTGGACAGCTTTGTGGACCGACCCATTGTTCCTCTCTTCCATGTTCTCTACAATGGCCTTGGAGAGTGGGTGAACTCTGACTGCTTTAAGCCTGCTCTCTGTACAAATATTTGTACAGAAAGTTTTTTTTTTACTATTTGATGTCACATTCTCACAGGTATTGCTTTGAGCAATGGTTACTTATGGAAGAAGCAGAGAAAGTTTGCCACCAGTCATCTACGTTACTTTGGAGAGGGACAAAGGAGTCTGGAGAAATACATAGAAGTGGAGTGCAACTTTCTCTGTGAGGCCTTCAAAGAGGAACAAGGTAAACTAGATACCGCATAGCGGTAACATAATGACCCCCGCACGCACAAATGCACCAGAACTCAGAAGTCTTTATTCCTAATAAATGTCATGCTACCAGGTGCATCCCAAAATTTAAGTGGTTTTGGTGGGGGTCTTTTTTCGAGGTGGGGGTGTCATTGGTTGACCTGATGGATAGCCCCTCATCAGAGCTAAACAACCAAAGAAAATCTGAAGCTCCTAGTTTTTGAGCTATAACCATTTTTGTATGTCCAGATACC